GACGCAACGAAAAATATTGATAAACCACATCGGTCGCCACGCGGGTCAACAAGGACCGCGATCCCCAGTGAGGAACCAGACTGGGGTGGAAAAGTCTGCAGCTGAAACAAACTCTACCAAACGAAAACTAGGGAAAAACCACGCCGAGAACAGTCCTTAAAGAGGCCCTCAGTATTCATTAAAAGAAAATCCTACAAAAAGAACAATAAATAAATGGTCTAGGGAAGAGTATATTGAAGTAATGATAGCATTTTACACTGCAACGATAAATCCAACAATAACAACAACGACCAAATATCTGGCGAGAAAAACATCCCACAACGTGACTAAACATTGATGTCAACAAACTAGCCAATGTCAGGCGTGACATCATCACGAAAAAAGAGTACCTGACATAGAACTCGAAAGCACCCGAGAAAACATAAAAAATAGTTTAAACGTTAACATAGAGGGGCTAAATGCCAACATCCCAAAGGAGTCACATGCAGAGGAACAAATAGAAACCAGTTGTAGTAATCCCTCTGAGGTACACAAAGAAATAGAGGAAGATAATGACGAATATGATAGAGAAACATTGATGACAAAAATAAATCAGATATAAATGGGAGAATGTAAAGGAAATGTCTTTCGAGGAAAGGCTGACAATTCCAAAAGTAAGAAAGAACCGTCAAGTGATGGAAACCATCAACCTCGCTAACCAAGCGATTAGAAAAATAAGGGACGAAATGGGAAGCCCGATTGACCTGACAGAAATTAATCATCTTACATACACGGACTCGGCAGTGATCGCAGAAACAATAGGCGAAAAAGTAAAAACACAACATAAACGAAAAAAATGCCTGTCTAGAAAGAAAAAATAGAAACCGAAATGAATAAACTACGAGGACAGTTGTTACATCTGAGTGAAATAGACACGGGATCAATAATGAAAGAAACAAAAAGGAGACAACTGAAATGAAGCCTTGACATAAAGAATAATACTGACGTACCAAAAGTCAAAGAGAAGTTGAAACAACAATTTCAAGCGAAGGCATAAAGTATCAGGCGTTATGAAAAAGAAACAGATTCTTTTGGCAAGACAAGATCTTCAAAAATGAAGTCAAGAAACTATATCGAGAACTGGTAAAAATAAAATAGAGATAAATGACCCACCTAATATCCAGGAAGTCAATGAGTTCTGGTGTAAGATGTGGGAAAACTGCAAAAGGCACAATGAAAGAGCTTCACGGATCAAGCAACAACAGGAACAATAAACACATATAGAGTGCCAAAAATGGACGGATATCAATATTACTGAAACAACCGCTGCCATTTAAAAAACCAAAAACTAGAAAGCAACAGGAATAGACCGAACAGCAATTTTTGGATAAAAAACCTAGCACCCATCAAGAACTCCCACGGGCATATAATGATATAATCATAAACCTAGAAAAATGCCCTAAATTGGTCACGTGGGGAGTAACATACATACTCCGAACAGAAGAGGCGCAGAATCCGAAGAACTATAGGCCCATTACCTGCCTACCAACAAAGATTCTCACTTCTATCATAACCGAGAGGACATACGACTTCCTTGAGAAAAACAATTTACTCCAAGCAGGCATATAAATGAAAGAGTCACGGGTACAAGGACCAGCTAATTATTAAAAAAAAAAAACGATATTAGAAAATGTGAAAATAAGGAAAAGAAACATCGATAGCATGGATCGACTATAGAAAAGCGTTCCGTGTACCATACTCATGGATATACAAAGAGCCTAAAATATAGAGAGAGTATGCTCTACAACCATCAAATTCATAACGGAGAGCATGAAAAACTGAAAGACCTAAACCTAAACCATACAAATGGCTTATTAACATCGAGGCAAATCAACATCAAAAGCGGGATCTTCCAAGGAGATTCACTGTCACCATTACTTTTCTACCTCTTCTTAGCTACGATACAAGTCACAGAATGGCAAATTAAATCGTTTATTCTATATTGATGATCTTAAAACGTTTGCCAAGGATGACAGCCAATAAAAAAACCTACTTACCATTGTCAAAACCTTCAATGAAGACATTAGAATGGAGTTCGGAATCGACAAATGTGCCAAAGTCACCTTCAAAGGTGGTAAACTAACAAAAACTACAGATTTAGACTTTGATATCAACCACAAGATTAAGGAACTAGACCAAGCTGATACATACAAATATTTAGGAATTAATGAAGAAGATGGAATACAACATTCAATTATGAAGAAAAAGATACGAAAAGAATATTAGAAAAGAGTACTAATTTAATGGTGCCAATAAAAATAAAGGCTATTAACACCTTAGCTATACCGGTAGTAACATACAGCTTCAACATTATTAAACAGAAGTTGAATAACATTAAAAGATTGAACACTAAGACCATAAAAATGCTTACCCAAATGAGGATACACCACCCGAAATCAAATGTTGATAGGCTGTACGTGCCAAGAGCTTTAGGAAGTCGACGTCTAATCCAACTTGAAGTAACTCTAAAAACTACAACAATCGGATTAAAAATATACCTCGCAAAAACCAATGACTCTCTCTATCCTGCAAATTGTAAAACACAAAATCCACACCATCAACAAAGAAGCTGCACTCATCAAGAAACAGCTGAAATGCTACCAACAAAAACCCAAGCGAATACCATCCACGCTAAACGAGTAAAACCGAAAGTAAAACAACTTGGCCAAATGAAATGACAAAAAAAGCCCTGAGAGGAGAAGGCATTGCATGGAAAATACCTAAAAAGAACGGAAAAAGTAGATGTGTATGAACAGAAACCACATCAGCCGAGGAGCACAGGGTTGAAAGCTGAGACAGAAGGTCTAATTATTCCATCTCAGGAGCAAAGCTATCACTGGATCAAGGATGGATTTAACCCGAAATGCGGGATCTGCGGAAAATATGATGAAACTGTCGACCATATTATCTCAATATGTCCGGGACTAGCAAAAAATGAATATACCCATTGACATAACAAAGTAGCGACATGTGTGCACTGGAAGATATGCAAGAAGCACAAAATCGAAACCAGACAGTTACCCAAAATAATGATGTAACTATCCTCTGGGACATGCCAGTTCAAACTCTCAGGGAATTAAATGCCAACAGACCTGATATTATCATAAAAACAAGAAATTCAGGAAATGTATGCTTATTGACATAGCAGTACCATCTGAGAGAAACAGCTCTATAAAAATACAAGAAACTGGAGATCGAGATTAACAGGTTGTGGGGAATGAAAACTGAGGCTGGATCTATAGTAATCGGAGCTCTGGGCCTCGTGAAAAACGGAATGGACATTTTTACTAAAAGTGTTCTAGGTAACATCAACAGCCCAGAATATCGCCACATTAAGAACATCCCATATACTAAGAAAAGTGCTATCAATTAAATGACAATTCTTCTATAGGGCCTAAGGACCATAGTTTGGGTCTGGCTCTACAGGAAAGCAGGAAACATAACTTACACAAATAATAATAATAAAATTTGAATGTTTGGAAAGCACTATCAAATACTGCAGAAGCAGTGATCATTTGGGATGTTGTACAATACAAGGAAAAGACCTTACGGATATTAGGTTTCCATTTAGAAATAGAACCATTACAAAAAGAAAAGGTATAGCGGCTCTGAATAGCAAGACGTCTTCGGAAAGTAGTGGATACAGCCTATCACTGAGAAGAAAAAAATAATCGGTTTCAGTTACGAAAGGTAACAGTGTATTTCTGTTTATAAACGGAAGAAGTGGGGGAGCATTGTCATCGTGTGTTGAGAGTTTCTTTATTTCAAGTGGGGAGGATAAGTCAGCCAAGGCGACTTGGGAATAACAACTAAATTTTCGGGAACACCCACAGAGTCTGTCTGAACACCCACCTCTTCGAGCGAATTGATGCAGCCAAAGAAACTTAGGTGACATCTAAATCCTTGGTTAACATCCACAGACTGTGTCCTTCTGAGCGAACTGAGACAGCCAAAGAGACTTGGGTGACATCTAAATCCTTGGGAATACTCACAGGCAGAGTCCCTCTGAGCGAACTGAAGTAACCAAGGCAACTTGCGAGTGACATCTAAATCCTTGGGAATATCCACAAACAGACTCTGTCCGAGCGAACTGAGACAGCCAAAGAGACTTGGGAGTGACATCTAAATCGTTGCGAACACACACAGACAGAGACCATCCGAACATACTGAGACAGTTAAAGAGACTTGGGAGTGACATCTAAATCGTTGCGAACACACACAGACAGAGACCATCCGAACATACTGAGACAGTTAAAGAGACTTGGGAGTAACATCTAAATCGTTGCGAACACACACAGACAGAGACCATCCGAACATACTGAGACAGTTAAAGAGACTTGGGAGTGACATCTAAATCGTTGCGAACACACAGACAGAGACCATCCGAACATACTGAGACAGTTAAAGAGACTTGGGAGTAACATCTAAAAGCGAACACACACAGACAGAGACCATCCGAACATACTGAGAAGTTAAAAGAGACTTGGGAGAACATCAGAAGAACACACACAGACAGAGACCATCCGAACATACTGAGACAGTTAAAGAGAGACATCTAAATCGTTGCGAACACACACAGACAGAGACCATCCGAACATACTGAGACAGTTAAAGAGACTTGGGGGACATCTAAATCGTTGCGAACACACAGACAGAGACCATCCGAACATACTGAGACAGTTAAAGAGACTTGGGAGTGACATCTAAATCGTTGCGAACACACAGGAGACCAGAGACCATAAAGAGTTGGGCGAACATACAGACAGAGACCAGACTGAGACAGTTAAAGAGACTTGGGAGTGACATCGTTGCGAACACACAGACAGAGACCATCCGAACATACTGAGACAGTTAAAGAGACTTGGGAGGACATCTAAATCGAACAGACAGAGACCATCCGAACATACTGAGACAGTAACAGAACACACACAGACAGAGACCATCCGAACATACTGAGACAGTTAAAGAGACTTGGGAGTAACATCTAAATCGTTGCGAACACACACAGACAGAGACCATCCGAACATACTGAGACAGTTAAAAAGAGACTTGGGAGTAACATCTAAATCGTTGCGAACACACACAGACAGAGACCATCCGAACATACTGAGACAGTTAGACTTGGGAGTGACATCTAAATCGTTGCGAACAAACAGACAGAGACCATCCGAACATCTGAGACAGTTAAAGAGACACACAGAAATCGTTGCGAACACATCACAGACAGAACCATCCGAACATACTGAGACAGTTAAAGAGACTTGGGAGTGACATCTAAATCGTTGCGAACACACAGACAGAGACCATCCGAACATACTGAGACAGTTAAAGAGACTTGGGAGTAACACCTAAATCCGACACACAGACAGAGACAGTTGAGACAGTTAAAGAGACTTGGGGAGGACATCTAAATCGTTGCGAAACACAGAGAGAGAGACCATCCGAACATACTGAGACAGTTAAAGAGACTTGGGGAGGACATCTAAATCGTTGCGAAACACATTGAGAGACCATCCGAACACTGACCAGACAGTTAAAGAGACTTGGGAGGACATCTAAATCGTTTCGAACACACACACAGATAGAGACCATCCGAACATACTGAGACAGTTAAAGAGACTTGGGAGGATATCTAAATCGTTGCGAACACACAGACAGAGACCATCCGAACATACTGAGACAGTTAAAGAGACCTAAATCGTTGCGAACACACACAGACAGAGACCATCCGAACAGACTGAGACAGTTAAAGAGACTTGGGAGTAACATCTAAATCGTTGCGAACACACAGAGAGAGACCATCCGAACATACTGAGACAGTTAAAGAGACTTGGGAGTAACATCTAAATCGTTGCGAACACACACAGACAGAGACCATCCGAACATACTGAGACAGTTAAAGAGACTTGGGAGTGACATCTAAATCGTTGCGAACACACAGACAGAGACCATCCGAACATACTGAGACAGTTAAAGAGACTTGGGAGTAACATCTAAATCGTTGCGAACACACACAGACAGAGACCATCCGAATATACTGAGACAGTTAAAGAGACTTGGGAGTGACATCTAAATCGTTGCGAACACACGGACAGTGACCATCCGAACATATTGAGACAGTTAAAGAGACTTGGGAGTAACATCTAAATCGTTGCGAACACACACAGATAGAGACCATCCGAACATACTGAGACAGTTAAAGAGACTTGGGAGTGACATCTAAATCGTTTCGAACACAGAGAGAGAGAGACTATCCGAACATACTGAGACAGTTAAAGAGACTTGGGAGTGACATCTAAATCGTTGCGAACACAGAGAGAGAGAGACCATCCGAACATACTGAGACAGTTAAAGAGACTTGGGAGTGACATCTAAATCGTTTCGAACACACACAGAGAGAGACCATCCGAACATACTGAGACAGTTAAAGAGACTTGGGAGTGACATCTAAATCGTTGCGAACACAGAGAGAGAGAGAGACCATCCGAACATACTGAGACAGTTAAAGAGACTTGGGAGTGACATCTAAATCGTTTCGAACACAGAGAGAGAGAGAGACTATCCGAACATACTGAGACAGTTAAAGAGACTTGGGAGTGACATCTAAATCCTTCAGAATACCCACCCGTCTGTGCAAACTGAGGCAGCCAAAGAGACTTGCGTGTAACATACAAATCCTTGAGAACATCCACAGAGTCTGTCCGAGTGTACTACGGCAGCCAAAGAGGCTTGGGAGCGATTTCTAAATCCCTGGGAACACTCACAGTCAGAGATCGTCTGAGGGAACTGAGGCAGCCAAAGGAACTTGAGAATGACACCTAAATCCTTGGGAACACCCACTTGTCTGTGTTGACTGCGGCAGCCAAAGCGACTTGGTTGTGACAAGTAAATCCTTGGTTAACACGTACAAAATCCGTCCGAATGACCTGAGGCAAACAAAAACACTTCCGAGTGACATCTAAATCCTTGGAAACACCCACACAGAGAGTCTGTTCGAGCGAATTGAAGTATCTATTTAAATCCTTGGGAACACCCACCCGTCTGAGTTAACTGAGGCAGCCGAAGCGACTTGATTGTGACAAGTAAATTCTTGGTTAACACTGATAGATAGAGTCCGTCTGAGCGAACTGCGCCAAGCAAAGAGACTTGGGAGTGACATCTAAATCCTTAGGAACACCCACTGACAGAGTCCGTCTGAGCGACCTTAGGTAGCCAAAGCATCTTGCGAGTGACAACTATATCCTTGGGTACACCCACACACAGAGTTTGTCAGGTCAAACTGAGGCAACCAAAGAGACTTGGGAGTGACATCTAAATCCTTGATTAACACGCACATTGTCCTTCCGAATGAATTGAGGTAGCCAATTGAGGTAGAGACTTCCGAGTGACATCACACAGATTCCGTCCGAGCAAACTGAGGTATCCAAAGAGAATTGGGAGTGACATCTAAATCCTTGGGCACACCCACCCGTCTGACTTAACTCAGGTATCCAAAGAGACTTGAGAGTGACATCTAAATCCTTGGGAACACCTACAGTCCGTCCGGGCGAACTGAGGCAGTGACATCTAAATTCTGGGGCACACCCACAGTGTCCGTCTGATCGAACTGAGGAAGGCCAAGAGACTTGGGAGTGACATCTAAATGCTTGTGAACACTCCCATTCGGAGATGCGCTGAGCGGACTAGGTTACCCTACTTGAGGGTTTTTTAACTGGGCCTCACATGCAAGTTTATATACCCCTTTTTTCCAAAATCTGCCACCTTATCGGCTGTGATGCATGTGGCTAGTATACCCTTATCAGATTGGGTATCATGATGGGTATATTAGGCTTGGTATATTTATACGCAGCATCGTTTTTTTGGCGAATGGGCGTCCTGCTGTCTCACTCAATAACAACAGTTGATGTCAAATGAGTACAAGAAAGGAAGGTCAGGTTTATGAATGATGATTCCAACGTTTTCTGCAACAAGCCAGAGACACGCTGACCAAGTAAAACTGATTGTGGACAACAGCTGGTTGGCGGGCCAAGAATCTACAGAGAGATGTCGAGAAGTCAGAAAGAAAAAAAAGAATTACAACTTTTATTAATAAACAGAAAATGAGGAAACTGATAAAAAAAGCATGCCAAAAATAAACAACGCACTGCACCCACTGAAACGAAACCTCTTAGGAAGCGATGATGAGAATTTAGATCAGGTCTGTAAAATGAGTTACATCATCATCGTCATCATCATCATCGTCGTCATCATCATCGTCATCATCATCATCGTCATCATCATCATCAGTCCAATCGTAGTGTCGTTGCGTAGCTTAGCATCTGACCAGCTTCCTCCATATATCTCTGTTGCGTGCCAATATCTAAATCACAGTGAAGGATTTTTCAGTCCACTCACTGACGTTGTCAACTCATGTTTTTCCTTTATCTGTTCCTTCTTCTTTTGCCTAACGTTGTAGTTAGGACCATAGTAAAAAAAGATTGTTGACTCTTCTGACGTGGCCATGCCAACTTCCTCTTATTACGAGAGCTTTTAATAACAAATATATTTGGGTTAATATTTATCATTCAGCAATGAATATAATTACGCATATCTGGGGAGGAAAAGAAGCGTGTGTTAATACATATATACACTAGCGAGCATAAGTTTCGGTCCAAGTACATGAAATGATTATAGACCTTTATATTATTAAGAAGTTAAGTTTGTTAGCAATATGCTTTTATCAGTCATAAATATGGATATTGGTGATTGAAAAACTAGTTGCGTTTTCGTAGATGCCATGTAAGAGAAAATACTCCGCCTTAAGCAACTTGAAGTCGAAAAAGGCTGTACAAAGTTATTGGACCAATGAAAAATCTGAGATGATAAAAGTCATTATAATATGCAAATTTCTAAGTAGGAATTATTCCATCTTATTAAAATGAATGTAAGGCGTTTTGACAAGTCATTGCAGTTGAACGTTAGGTTGCTTTTGTACATTACAATCATAGCGAAGATTTTTGCTAAAGCAAACTTGAAGGTTGTGATTTCGAATAGGAATGTGAGCCAAACCGAAACAACCAGGCGGCTTGAATTTTGCAGAAACGGGGTTCAAACAATCCAAATCTTATACTGTCTAACACTGTGTCATTTGTGATGCGGCAAACGATTTACTTTGGATAAAAAAAGAAGGAAACTGAAAATTAGCGTCTTATACGCTAAAAAGAATGGTAAGGAAAATTATTATTTGTAAAGCGTCGGATCACAAATGAATCTATGACCTCTGGTCAAAAAGATACTCAAACTGACGTGAACGACGGGCCCAACACAAATGTTTGCTTGAAGTAAACTACAGGAAAAACAAACTTAATCAAAAATCCCTTGATGAATCGGAGAGCCGAGTTCGAATTCCAGTCAAATTACATTCACTTAAGTGTTAATACCCTTGGGAATGAATGAGATATATATTGGGTATGAATCCTTTTCTCTCCCCAGCTATGGGCAAATAGCAGGACAGACTGGGATCTATAGCATAGGATGGCAACTGGTCTACCGTAGAAAGAAATGGCAACCTACTGTGGGAAAAAAAAGTCTGCCTCCTCATTCATATATCGAAAGATACATGATCGCCTAAACGTGTATCACGCATGGCACATAACTGACTGATTAAAACTTGGCACATAATAGCTTTATTCGTCCACTAATGATTGCATTACTTCTTGACCAATGAAAACTACTTCCTTCTTGATTTTCAATGCATATCTGGACAAAATCCAATGAAGAATCTCTGGCATCTCGGTTACAATAACTTTACAGCCGTCGTAACGTAGCTTCCCTGTAAATATTTTCATTGCAAGTGTTTAGCTTTAATACATCGTCTTCATAAATTTAAGCGCAGTACTAGATTGGCTATTAGGTCTTATCATTTTAATCTTAAAATAGCTAAATTTAGCCGTAAGTTCTATTCTAATAGTTTCTTCTCTTGCACTTCTTACCTGTGGAACTCTCTTTCAACTTCTTGCTTTCTGGTCAATTACAATCTACAAAATTCAAATGCAACATCCATCGTCATCTTCTGTCTAAGTAAATCCTGCCTTATTTATTGCTCTTTCTCAGTAACGTTTTCTCAGTTTCCTTCATATTATTGCTTTTTATCCTCAGTAACCTCTTGTGTGTTAGTGGCTTTAACGCCTTGCTTGGCGGGGATGATTAAATATAATTAAGTTTTACATATAATAGCCTTATTCAGTCTGTAAGACAGAATGCATGGTCGTTAGCAAAAGGATGAGCCCAAAATGCAAATTACAATTCAGAGATACCAAATCAAGCAAATACAAAAATGTTAATATCTGAGAAGTGTTCTAATACAAGACGAAAAGTGCGACACTGAGATTCGAAGACGCATTTGAGATGCAAAGATTCCTTCCAAAAGCTAAGCAAAGTATTAAGAGACAAAAAAAAAAACATTGTTAAAAAAAGAAAATAGTAATGAAATGTTACGTGATATCTGCCCTCCTATAAGGCAGCGAATGCTGGACAATTTCCTCAAAGATGAGGAAGAGACTTGAGTCAACAGAAATATATGGTTCTACAGAAGGACCGAAACTGTGAGCAATGACGAGGTTTTAGAGAAAATGGAAACAAAAAGGAAACTTATAATTGCCCCCTGTACAATTGTCCCCTGTATAATTACCTCCATTAAGAGAAAGCACAACAACTGATGGAATGTGGGGGCGATAAATACCAATAAAACTAATTAGGTTTTTTTTTCCTGTTCTATCTGTTATCCAATAAGAGTTATATTTACAATTTCTCTTTTCCATTGTCCGAGAGCAGTTGTCCTATGGACGCAATGATCCAGGGGCATTTGTCAGGGATCAATTGTTCAGGGGGCAGTTGTCCTATAATCAATTTCCAATATCTACAAACTTTTCCCATTTAGAAGATTGGTGCAAGACAATCTTCCAACCACCATTTAGCTCTGTGCAATACTATTCTAACCTTTACACATATCATAACATGTTGTATGGCTTAAACAATTGTGTATTTCTCCCTGATGCCACAGATGATTGTCTAAACCTAGATAAAAAGTAAAGAATTCAAATTCTGCTTTTCTGATTAATTAGCCCCCACTCCCTATTCAGAAAATCGGAGAAATACATTCTTCTTCTTCTTCTTCTTCTTCTTCTTCTTCTTCTTCTTCTTCTTCTTCTTCTTTTGAGATTTGTGTGGTAGGAAGGTTTTTTAATACCGCTTGCTGCGTTCTGGAATTAATGCATGAACCCTAAGGCCATACTGTTTAACAAGATTAGTGCCAAAGGACGTTCATTTTTAACACTCTCCCTTATGAAATTAGCACTTTGTGCTCATTTTGTCATCCGCAAACTGCTGTAATAGCTGTTTTCAAGCAATCCTGTTTAATATTTGAGGATTTCCTCATTGCTCTCTTCTTGCCCTTCATGTATAAGAAAAAAAGGCGTTGAAGATGTTAAATGACTAATTTTGCATGAAATTCTTTTGACTGCCTTTTCAAGTCTTCAGAAACTTTAGAGCTTGTTTAATCCTGTAGAGTTTTGTTGTTAGATTAGTGTGTCAAATTGCAGATTTGTTCCCAATTAGTATCCATAAGTTGCTTTATATATGCTTTCAAATTACAGGTAATAATCTTTACAGATTGTTCTCAATTCAGAAATATTTAGAAGTAAATTTATTCTGACATATATATTGATCAACTTTTTCAGAAATAGCGTTGACTTATAGTTGATTCTTAAGGTTGCTTAATACTGATGTTCGATCAGTATCACATTTTCAATCACATTGTATCGATCTTAATAATAATTTACCTGACTTTTAATAGTTGGGCATGTCCTGTCGAGGCCGATGCCTCGTGCATATCTGCTCATGAGTGGGAGCAATAGCCGAGTGACGAAAGGGGTTGTTTTTATTTAAAGTTGAAGGATGAATCAGCAAAGTCGAATGAGAATCACAATTAGATGAATGGGAACACCTTCAATCGGAGACCGTCTTAGCGGAGTCGATTTCCTTGTTCCTTCTTTGTACATGCAGGAATTGTGAAACTGAATTTTCCTGACTAAATTTCCTGAGATTAAATTTTCTGACCACGGTTAAATAAATAAATAATGTTTTTTATGGTTTCTGATTTTAAGTGTTTGGGTGTTTTAATGCGTAAATGTTTTGTCCTGGTGACTTAAGATGTGTGACAGTAGATAATCCCATTCTATACCACAAATTCCCTGATCATGTGTCGGGTTTTAATCCGTTATGCATGTCTTCAAAAATCTGACGCGCTGTGCATGTACCTTTGTAGCTGTTGAACTAATCAGTAGGGAAACATTATATCTATGTGTCGAGAGTGTTTTTGTACTTTTAGTTTGAAGGATGAGGCAGGGAAAGCGACTTTATGTCACATCTAGATTCATGGGAACACCTTCAATCGGAGACTGTCTTAGCCGGGCGGATTACCCAATCTGAAGATATTTCTAACTGCAAGACTATGCGCTGCTTTTATCAAAATCTGCCACCATATCGCGTACATTTTGGCTAAGATGCACATAACAGGTACACCCGTA